CATCATCTGACACCGTTTTCTCGCTGTTAGTTTCTGCAGTCTTTTGTGCAACTTGGCCTGTATTCCCTTCTTCTGTTGTTTCCTTATCAACATCCATTGGATCTGCTGTTTTTGTAGCTCCTTTTTCTTCTGTTTCTTTTGCAGATGTCTGTTCTGGAACTGCTTTCGGGGTGTTCTCTTGTTGTGGTGTTCCCTGATTCAGATCTTCTTGAACAGCTGGTGGTTCTGTTGCAACTTTCCCCAGTGGATCTCCTTCTTGGATGCTTTCCTTATTCACAGCTGCTGGAGCAGAATCATCTTGCTCCTTCGGTGTAGATGCAGCAAGATCGACTGTAGATGGTTGTGAATCATCTTCTTTCTGTGTTTGCTCCTCGTTCTCCTCTTTGTTCTTGCCTATCTTTGCCTGTTGAATATTTCATTGATTGTTTTATCCAAACTGGCATTCATTTCTTCATCATTCTCTTCTTCATCATCTTCACACTGAGATTTTTCTCCTTCTGTGGGCTGAACATATTCATCACAGCTTTCTTTCTCAAGTTTCTCCTTGTGTTTGATCAGATTCTCAATTTGGTTGTTGTACTGGTCTTTGATTGCTTTCATCATTGCCTTCATTGATGCTTCAAGCAGTTTGATTGCATTCTCAGCCTGCATAATGGGAGTTTTGTAAGATACCATGGTGGTAATGTGTGTATGGTGTATGGTTAGTTACCATGGTGGTAATACATGGTATTGGCAATTATTATCACAATTCTCCATTTTTATAACATGAAACCATATCTTACCACATGGTAACAAAGTAAAACAGAACAAGAATTATGGTTTCCTCCATTTTTATAACATGAAACCATAGCTTAACACACATTACCATATGGTAACGAAGTAAAACACAACAGGACTTATGTTTTCCTCGATTTTTATAACATGAAATCATAGCTTACCACACATTACCATATGGTAACAAACTAAAACACAACAGGACTTATGGTTTCCTCCATTTTTATAATATGAAACCATAGTTTACCACACCTTACCATATGGTAACCAACTAAAACACAGAAGGAATTACGGTTAGCATGTATTTGGACAACTGTAATATAGATAATTTGTACTTACTTGGTTGACTGTTCTGATATTCTTCAAATCAAAGTTCAGTGATGATGACTGGTCTGGAGTTTTGTTTCTTTGTTTTTTCGGTGACTGATAGACTGGCTCATTCTCCTCTTCCTCATCAGTTGCATCATCAGCCTCATCATCATTAATGTTGGCAACCTTTTCGATCTCGGTCAACTCTTTTCCATTGTAGTAGCTCTTAATGTTCTCAAAGTTTGTTTCGACATTGAGATCATCATAGTAGCTTACTATTGGTGTTCGAAGCTGGGTTGAGAATGCCATTTCGTCCAGTTTGTACATGAAGCATACCATTTTTATGCAGATAGTTGTATTAAGTTTTTCAAAGATTATCATTTATATATAAAATATATGAGTAACAAGGTTGACATGGCCAAGGGAATGGAGACTTACTGTAAGGAAGTGAAGATCTGCACTGACATAGAGGTTTGATGATTTCAATCCTTCATTCATGTGTTTGAAGAAGTATTTGCACCAGTTGTAGCTGGTGAAATGTTTCAGTTCTTCAGTCTTCAAGTACTCAAGCATGTTGAGTTCAGCCATAGGCGCTGAAGTTGGACACAGCAAGCCTCCAGTGACCAGCAGAAAGAACAATTGTAACCATCTCTTACTGTTTGGAGTTGTAGGAAGATCTTTTTCTACCTGACTTAGCTTTACCCTTGGAGTGGATGTTCCATCTACTTTGAGTAGGGTTTCTACTGCATAATCTGCTGCGTCGTCCCAAGAAATCATGGGAGGTACAACTTCCCTATTCCCCATCGGCAGACCATATACTCTATGAAAGTCGATTGGTGATATCTTCATGCGTGTCACGTTAGGTAGCTTGAACGATTCTTTCATTGGATTGTATTTGTTCATTACGAACAGAGCAAAATGATTATTTATCTTTGTCTGCCTGATTGATATTAAGCCTGCTAGGCCTAATATCTCAAGTTGCGCTTTCCGTTCATCTGTTATTGACCTTGCAATTGCAGATATTCTTGTTGGGCTGCACCTTGTGCGAAAACATTGTCTTGGTTTTACCTTAGTGTACCTGAATGTAGAAATTAGTAATAGTCTGTTAGTATGCTTTTTACCATAATATACCATATGGTACCATAATGGTTTCCTACCATACCTAATCAAATCATATATTTATCACATTTTACCATATGGTAATTACATGAAACCATGTCTTATAAGATCTTACCATATGGTAACGAAGTAAAACACAACAGGACTTATGTTTTCCTCCATTTTTACAACATGAAACCATAGCTTACCACACATTACCATGTGGTAACAAACTAAAACACAGAAGGACTTATGGTTTTTTGCTATTTTACAACATGAAACCATAGCTTACCATACATTACCATATGGTAACGAACTAAAACACAGAAGGACTTATGTTTTTTTGCTATTTTACAACATGAAACCATAGCTTACCACACATTACCATATGGTAACGAACTAAAACATAGAAGGACTTATGTTTTTTTGCTATTTTACAACATGAAACCATAGCTTACCACACATTACCATATGGTAACGAAGTAAAACACAGAAGGACTTATGTTTTTTTGCTATTTTACAACATGAAACCATAGCTTACTACACATTACCATATGGTAACAAACTAAAACACAGAAAGACTTATGGTTTTTTGCTATTTTACAACATGAAACCATAGCTTACCACACATTACCATATGGTAACAAACTAAAACACAGAAGAACTTATGGTTTTTTGCTATTTTACAACATAAAACCATAGCTTACCACACATTACCATATGGTAACAAACTAAAACACAGAAAGACTTATGGTTTTTTGCTATTTTACAACATGAAACCATAGGTTACCACACATTACCATATGGTAACAAACTAAAACACAGAAGAACTTATGGTTTTTTGCTATTTTACAACATGAAACTATAGCTTACTACACATTACCATATGGTAACAAACTAAAACACAGAAGGAGTTACGGTTTCTCGCCTTTTTATAACGTGCAATCATAGCTTACCACGCCATACCATGTTGTAACGAAGCAAAACACAACAGATTCTACACCAGTTCAGCAACGCATGCTAACGATTCGGTAATGTAGCGAGTTTTACTACAATTTTCACATGAAGAGTGAATGAAATACTGTTTCTATTGTTCTATGGATGGATTTCGAAGAAAGAAGTGAGGTTTTACCTTGATATTTTGTGCGAAAACGATTTTTGAGCCTCGTTGAAGTTGGAAACCCTTCGTTTTTCAACGAAGAAGCGAGAACAGTAAATCGTTGAATGATTCTTCGAAAACCTTTGCGAAAATCGTTGAATGATTCTGTGTTTTCTGAAGTTTTTGGTGCGCGACTGGATGAAGAATGGAGAGTTAGAGAGCAGAGGGAAGTGCAACTGTCGCGTGAAAGGTGAGAGAAAGAAGGAAAGAAGGCGGGCACGGTTTAATATGTCACGTCTGCTTTTCAAATTGTCAGATGGAAAGATTACTATTTTGCCCCCCCCCACCCCCCCCCCCCCCCCCCCCCCCCGTGTAGTTACTTTTGCTTGATCTGACGGTTGAAAAGCGGATGGAATGGACGGTTGATAGAGCGGTTACTAATGGTTACTGATATGTTGGTTACTGAGGGGATCCGGACCCATTGCCACCCTCATTATCGTGCTTGTATTTCATTGTCCTTTTATCATGTTTTACTTATAGGCGCCTAGCTACTCCCATACTAATAACTCTCCCGCGAAACATACCCCACATCCCGTCGGATGTAGTCATACATTCCCCACACCACTATGGGTGTAGTCATACCCCGACACCGCTCTGGGTGTGGTCATATCTCGTAAGAATTCTTCAGTCACCCCCACATGAGAGGTGTGACTATCATACATATCATAATAGAGTAATAGCATAAGGAGCCCTAATTACTATGTAGTTGACTGTGAGACCACAACACTCATATTTGGTATCCTTATACATGATTCATATATCATCTTGCTTAATCATAATTCATTACTTGCACATGTACTTGACCTGGCCATAATTGGCTCAACATAGGTAAATTAGGAGTCGTATAATTGCAATTCCTCGGGATAAACCCTCGTGCAAGTCATCCTCCTTAAATATCATAATATCACTCTGGGAAGTTTATTTTCCCCACTTGTGAATCCAAATACAACCACAATATCACATCCTGTCAAAACACATGATCGAACAACCATGAAGTCATATAACGGTTAAGCCACAAATGACAACATGTATGCAATCATCAACATAAACAAGGTCCATATCGGATAAGGCAAGTCAATAATATCATACAACAATCCATGGTTCATCATATAGCATAAAAGTCCATACACCCCCAATAATATCATATAATTATCGTGATACGACAAACCCGGTATGTCGTGTTAATCCCTCACCAGTTCTGGTCGTTCAAATACCGGTTTTAGCCTCCCGTACTAAAACTTCAATTTCACGAACGAAGCCAGAATTAGAATCCGAGACCGTCCTAATGTCCCCTGCAGTGTCCCTATCAATGTTAGTTCAAGGCTCCAGATCAAATTCTCGATAAAAACACATCAAACCGTAGCCAGAGTTAAATTCAACGATTCCGGATCCGACATAAATATTAGTTCAAGGCTCCAAAACTAAGGATACCAAAACTAAACCATAGCCAGAGTTAAATTCATCAATGTTAGTTCAAGGCTCCAAAACTAAGCTCTGAAAATTTGCACCGAGTTGGCTTTGCGTTCTCTGTTTGATCTGGTTTGGGAGAGTGAAATGGAAAAAGAAGGGGAAATAGTTTCTGGCAAAATAATGACACGGGGGGAGAGGGATTTATATAGTGGTCTGTGATCACTTAAATGTAATTATATATAATTAATACGTATACTTATCCGATTGATTGATAATTCGATTTTCGTCAAATACTATCAAAACACTCGATTTTAAATCGCGAACCTTCTAGTGATCGAAATATTGGTTTAGCCGAAATGGGATGTTACAATTCTCTCCCCCCCCCCCCCCCCCCCCCCTTAAAAGATTTCGTCCCCGAAATCTATCCTTGAGTTGATACTACGCATCCCTACGTTACCCTCCTAACTTATACCACCACATATATTGTTACTACCCAACTCTTATGTTAAGGGATCTGAAGTACATAAGTAAACACATATCACCTCAAGTTCCCATGTTTAGGTTTCAAACCTATAACGGGTTATCACAACAAAAGCACATCAACAAGTTCAAAACATAACTTACTAAGCAAGATTGTTAACCTAGCCACCACAACATCAAGAATCATATCTCCATTAAAAACTCAACCATCATAACTTGTTAGTTTGGTAGAGAGTCAAAAACCAACAGCCTTGCAAAGCTAGCCTCCATGCTTCTCGATCGGTAAGTAGTAATACTAAAAGTACTTCTGTGCAAACTACAAGGAAACATTGGCCTTTGTTTGATCCACACACCATTTGTGTCTAATCAAGTTATTCACTTGGTTGTAACAAAAATTTCTTCAAAATCATTACTAGGACAACAAGATAAAATTTCCACATATTTCATAAATCTCTTAAACCATAAAATTTTCAACATTACTTCAAACACTCAAAATCATGTTTGACCATATGCAACTGACTATGCAACACGTCATCAACTTTGATCCAATTCCTGGAAAGTTTAGTGCAAGTACATGTATGGAGTACTCCTTCCCCTTTCGAGGGTGATCAGTCCTCAACAGCGAAAGTAACATACCCATAATGCAGAAAACAAACCAGCTCTGTTACCAAACTGTAACACCCTACCCTTTACATTTTGCCTAATCATATTGTTCATACGATTGCAGCGGAATTTAAAACTGGTGTTACATTAATTACCAAAATTTACCCAAATAAAATTTCGACATGAATTACTCACGTAATGGGCTAACAGTTCTTCCATCTAACCCTGCAAAAGAATTCATCTGAGTCCATGCATCCATAGACAAACATATATACTCACAACCATATGCATTGGCTCTGCAACTACATACCATACTTATAAATGTCATAATCGTCACTACATACACCACCACACACCTATACACATATAATCAACTTTCCACACCTGTGGATATCTCACACTGCATCAGAAGCTAGTATGCACATTAAAAACGTTCTCAAAACATTTTTACAAAAGAGGCGCGGATCACTGGCCAAAATCTCAAGTAGTAGTCCAAGCACAGAATAGTTGAAGACCATACCTCAACTTTCCTTCAAATCTTGCTCAGCTTCCACTTATACACCTATCTACTGCTGCTGATGCTGATGATCTGCTTACACATGGCATAAGCAGAGAAGAATGATAAAGAGGGTCAGCTCATGGCTGAGTGAGACAATCATTCCATTGTGAGTTCATAACAAAGCATACCTCTACCATACATTTAGCAATCAAGCCAAAACACTAGGATCGGACCTCAGCCATCCTCATATCCCAATGGGCAAAAGACACAACCACCTTGACTTATGCATCTACGTCTTATCATGTTTGACTTATAGGCTACTCTCATGCTAATAACTCTCCCGGGAAACATACCCATATCCCGTCGGATGCAGTCATACACACCCCAACATCTCGTCGGATGTGGACATACATACCCCATACCACTATGGGTGTAGTCATACCCCGACACCGCTCTGGGTGTGGTCATATCTCGTAATAATTCTTCAGTCACCCCCACATGAGAGGTGTGACTATCATACATAACATAATAGAGTAATAGCATAGGGAGCCCTAATTACTATGTAGTTGACCGTGAGACCACAACACTCATATTTGGTATCTTTATACATGATTCATATATCATCTTGCTTAATCATAATTCATTACTTGCACATATACTTGACCTGGCCAAAATTGGCTCAACATAGGTAAATTAGGAGTCGTATAATTGCACTTCCTCGGGATAAACCCTCGTGCAAGTCATCCTCCTTAAACATCATAATATCACTCTGGGAAGTTTATTTCCCCCACTTGTGAATCAAAATACAACCACAATATCACATCCTGTCAAAACACCTGATCGAATAACTATGAAGTCATATCAACGGTTAAGCCACAAATGGCTACATGTCTGCAATCATCAACATAAACAAGGTCAATATCGGATAGGGCAAGTTAATAATATCATCCAACAATCCATGGTTCATCATATAGGATAAATTCCATACACCCCTAATCATGTCATTCTAATTCACCTAGGTCAATTTAAGCATCAATTTAATTATCATGATACGACAAACCCGGTATGCCGTGCTAATCCCTCACCAGTTCTGGTCGTTCAAATACCGGTTTTAGCCTCCCGCACTAAAACTTCAATTTCACGAACGAAGCCAGAATGAAAATCCAAGACCGTCCTAATATCCCCTGCAGTGTCCCCATCAATGTTAGTTCAAGGCTCCAGATCAAATTCTCGTTAAAAACACATCAAACCGTAGCCAGAGTTAAATTCAGCGATTCCGGATCCGACCTATATAATAGCCGAAATTCATGAATTAGAACTACAGGATTAATTACTTCGATGCAGGAAGCTCGTATATGAAATTTGGGCTCAATCCGGCTTCCGGATACTCCGAAACCCTAATTTGGCTTATCGGGAATTCAAGAAATTCCTGAACCAAAAACTCGTTTTAAAGCTCTAAATCAATAAATCACGATGTATAGATGAATTAGACATTACTTACGGGATTTTTGGATCAGTAGAGCTCTAAAACTAAGCTCTGAAAATTTCCACCAAGTTGGCTCTACGTTCTCTGTTCGCTCTGGTTTGGGAGAGTGAAATGGAAAAGGAATGGGAAATAGTTTCTGGAAAAATAATGACATGGGGGAGAGGGATTTATATAGTGGTCTGTGACCGCTTAAATGTAATTATATATATAATTAATACGTATACTTATTCGATCGATTGATAATTCGATTTTCGTCGAAATACTATCAAAACGCTCGATTTTAAATCGCGAACCTTCTAGCGATCGAAATATGGGTTTGACCGAAATGGGATGTTACAATATCTATCTATTATTTGGTACATTGGCGTAAGTATCTCAGAATCTATGTTTTGAAGAAAAATGATATTTTCTATACTCACTACCCATTTACACACCAACATTCGGTATTAATTAGTTAACTTCCCTGCTTAGCAGATTAACAGATTGAACAAGTATGCAAGCTCAGGCTTTAAGTTGAACTGAGTGTTGGATTAAGTTGACTTACCAGCTTCAGTTCAGCAAGCTCTGGCTAATCTGACAGCTCCATACATCTGCATATAGACAAATTCATTCGCCAACTACTTAGAAACCAATAAAAAAACCAGAACTTTAGCAGGCATATAGCTAGGAAAAGTATCTATCTATCAGTTTCTCTTCCATGTCAAATTTTGTAGGCTGCAGCTTTCAATAGTGAACTTTAGTTAATTATAAAAGTAACACAAATGAAGGAACTTCATATACAAAGCTATCGAGATGAAGTCAAATGCATCCTCTGAACAATCAAGCTCAAGCACAACAATAGGAGTATAGTCTATAGAGAACATGCTCTTTCATACCAAATTTCTCCTTCTTATTATACGATATTCTCAGCTACCAAACAACACATTAGCTAAAACATAATCAAAACATGAGCCAAGGAAGGTTGTACATCTTGAAAACATCATAGAACTCAATGCAGAAAAGCGGTAAAACCTATCTATTATTAGTGCGAGCAGTGAATTAACGAAAGAGAAGAGGGACGGACTCACACAAGTAGACGAAATCCCTAAATCGAGAAGTGAAACGATTGAAGAAAACAATAACAAAATCAAATCTCTTTGCTGATTCACTTCGGCCTAATTCCAACTTTGCATTTTGAGAAATAAATAAGGCTTGAAATTTAAGTTAGAGAGAGTACCAGAGGAAGATCCAGAGAATACGGCAGCGATGTTGGTCAAAGAAGGAGCAGCACCAAGACTTCTCACTAATTACACACCGGCGTCCAAGGTCGACGGAATCTCTGGCAAGAGGGAGAACTCGCTGCTGGTTGAATCTCAGGCAACCGGACAAGTCAAATCTCGCTGCTGGTCGAGAAATCCACACCCACAAATCAAATATTGGAATCTCGAAATCTTAGAATCCAGGCTAGAAATTAAGCTTACCAGAAGAAGATTTAGAGATTATTCATCGCAAAAAAATAGAGATTCAGTAGCGCAATCGGGAACTGAAGGAGTGCAAGAAAAGGCTTGAAGGTCGATGGAATAAATGACCGAAGGAGGATGAGAAAATGACCTACTTTCGAAATGTACGTGGATTGCCGAAAATGGAAGGTAAGCTATTCCCAAAATCTTGTATATCTAAAAATAATTCATGTTTTGAAAATTCATTCCTAGTAAAAATTGTAGTCCTTAAAAAGTTATGCGAAATGAAAAAAAATCATGACGTTCGGATTTTGGGACACAAAGTTATGGTTGTTTATAGTTATTGAGCTCCACAAAGTTATGGTTGTCCAAAGTTTGACGAAATCAGAAATAAGCTCATTCGGGGTAGCAAACGACATTTTTTGGGACGAAGGCGAGACCAAACCACCTTCGACAGTCTTTGGCTTGCACGATCTCAAAAAGTTATGCGGAATCAAAAAAAAAAAAAAATTAGCGGCGATCGGATATTGGTTGGTGATCTTCTCACTGCATCGAATTACGATGAGTGGGTTCTTGATATGAATGACTTTGTAATTGCGAAGTAAAAATATTCGTTCTTGGATGGAATATTGACCAAAACAGCCGAGGGAAAACAACTTCAAGCTTGGATACGTTGTGATGCTATGGTTAAAGGGTAGCTCAAAACAGCCATGGTCAAAGAAATACGGATCTCTGTGCGATTTTTCGAGACCTAACGACAGATTTTGAATGACTTGAAGGACTGGTTTGGCCAAGGGAATGCTTCCCGAGCCTATGAGCTTCGCAGACTGATTAGTCTACTTCAGCAGGAGAAAATACAGTGTCCTCTTTGTACACAAAGCATCGTGCACTGTGGGAAGAATAAACCGCCATTGCCCCTACACCAACTTGCACATGCGGAAATTGCACTTGTGGAGCTTCTACACGTATTCTAGAGCACCAGAAAAGTTCTTGACTCTTTGACTTTTTAATGGGCTTGGATGATGTTTTCTCGACGGTTTGGACGGAGGTGCTGGCAATGATGGACACTCCGTTATTGGCAAAAGCTTTCAATATTACACTCAATGGGGAACAACAAAGGTTAATTTCACAGAGCCACAAACCGACACAGGAGGCTGCTGCCTTTATCGTGCGAAGTGAGAGTGATCGAGGAAATAAGCGCGAGAACAAGGAGAAACCTCAATGTTGCTAATGTCAAAAGTTGGGCAATCTTTGAGAGTCCTGTTACCAGCTAAATGGGTATCCACCTCGTGATAGGCAAGGTGACCCGGAGCTGCCAAGTGACCAGCAACAACTTTGTCATCCACAATCTGCAGGGGATGGAATGGGACGTGAACGTGACAGGGAACCTCACAAAGCCCAGATTGCGCATGAAAAAGAAGATATAAGCCACGTAGCTGACTTCACTATCAGGCAATTGGAACAACTTAAAGAGTTCTTGGTTATTCGGCCAAATGAGCAGATGATTCATTGGTCATTCGGCAGGTATATTTTTTATGAACACTCAGTGGTTGTTAGATTCTGGGTGTAATGAGCATATAACCATGAATGAATCTATATTAGAGAACAAGGTACAAATAGAGAATGGACAGCCCGTACGTATACCTACTGGAGCAAACATCCCTGTCAAACATATTGGTAGCATTGAATTGCGCCCTATCCTTAAGCTAAGCTACATGTTACATGTACCGAAGGTTTGGTGCAATCTGGTTTCGGTCAGTCGATTTGCCAAGGATAATCATGTTGCAGTAATTTTTCTCGTTGACTTTTGCATCATTCACGACTTAAGCTCCAAGAGTTTGATTGGGAAGGGTGAGTTACGTGATGGACTATACTACATGCGGTTGTTTGGGATTGGACGGGTTCAAGCTTGTGAAGCAGGGCAGCGCGGTGTGGTGTCGGATGTAACATGGCTAAGCATCCAAGGCTTTTAAAGGCTCAGCAGTTGAAAAAATAACTTTATGTTTCTATTGTTTCAAAGTCCGCATTGTTTTTTATTTAATTCATATTGATCTCTGGGTGCCTATAAAACTACATCACTTAGTGGCGCCCATTATTTTCTCACCATTGTTGATGCTTACGGTCGTTGTGTTTGGGTCTATTTATTGCATTACAAATCTAAGGTTGGGCGTTATTTAATGAAGTTTGATCAGTTAGTTTGTCGTTAGTTTGGCCGACGCATTAAGAACATACAGGCTGATAATTGACACGAGTTCAACACTTTGACGCTTTAGAGTTATTACGAGCGCGACGACATTCTTTTACAAACTTCGTGTACCGACACAACACAACAAAATGGTGTCGTCGAGCAAAAGTATCGTCATCTCCTAGACACTGCTATAGCACTACAGTTTCAAGCTAGCATGCCTATTTGTTTTTGGGGAGAGTGTGTGCTAACCGCAACATATATGATCAATTGACTGCGGACCAAACCTACTGATCGCATTCCTTATGAAGTGTTGTTTCGGAAACCGACGCCTTACTCGCATCTTCGGGTCATTGGATGTTTGGTATATATCAAGGACACTCGCCATGGGCTTGATAAATTTTTTGAACAAGGGTGTGCATGCGTATTTCTTGGTTATGCCTCCAGTCAGAGGGGTTACAAGTGTTAAGATCTTGCTACCCAAAAGCTCCTCACATCACGGGAAGTACAATTTCACAAAGACTAATTTTCCTTCCAACTTCTGGTTTTACAAAATCTGCATTGGACTGCGTCCCATTTTCTCTTCACAGGTCGACGATTTGGATGAGGATTGTTCAAAGATCTTGGGGCCATTGTCAACCCGTCTTCCACTCCTCCAGAGCCTAGCATGACTTCTCCTTCGTCACAGGCAGATCATGAGTAGAATCCTACCTTTGGGCCGAGCCCAGCTACTTCGGCACCTACTCATGAGATTGGGTCCTCACCAACCACTTCGCTAGCCCCAGATCCCGCCGCTCCTCGGTGTAGTGACCGAATTCGTACTAGACCGCAACACATGAACATTTATGAGACCACTTACACCCCAATCACTGATCCCACTACCGACATTCAGGGAAGCACACATACTGACATTTAATACCCTCTATCTGCCTTTGTCTCTTACGATAATTTTTGCTTACAAGGCTTTTCTTGCTGCAGTTTCCAGCCATACAGAACCCGACTCATTTCATGAGGCTCTCAAAGACCCACGTTGGCATGAAGCTATGGCCGAAGAAATTTTCGCTCTTACACAAAATAGGACTTGGAGTATTGTTTCTCTACCTAGCGGAAAGCGAGTCATTCCCGCAAAATGGGTCTTCAAGATCAAATATCGTCTCAATGTGTCGGTTGAATGCTACAAATATTAGCTTGTGGCAAAAGGATTCACACAAATTCAGGGTATCGATTTCCATGATACCTTTGTTCCCTTTGCCAAGCTTGTTACCGTTTGTTGATTGCTCGCAGTGGCGGTTAGTAAGGGGTGGCATCTACACCAGCTTGATGTCAACAATGCTTTCCTCCATGGTGATCTTGAGGAGGAATTATATATGAAGATTCCTCCCGACTTTGCTGCTCTTGGTAATAGGTGGGGTTGCATGCTTCTTAAGTCTATATATAGTCTCCGACAAGTCTCGCATAATTGGTATCACAAGTTCACCACCGCTCTTTGTTCACTCGGCTTTCAATCTTCTCCAGTCGACTACTCGTTGTTTATTTTTTTCCAGGGGAGTGGCTCTCATTTATGTCGATGAAGTTATCCTCACAGGGAATGACCTGTCCTTGATTACAGGTATCAAACAGTTTCTCGATGTGAAATTCAACATCAAGGATTTGGGGATCTTTGTTATTTCCTTGGGATGGAGTTTGCTCGCACGAGGGATGGTCTTTCACTCTGTGTGCTCGACATTCTTATAGATGCTAGAGCCATTGGTTCATGTCCCGGTGGTTTCTCGGTCGAGTAGAATCATCATTTGACTCGGCCCAGTTCTGATGTTATCCTTCCATCGATCCTTCCTCTTATCGGCGTCTCAACGATCGACTTCTCTACTTGACTGTCACGCCGCTTGATATCACTTATGTTTTCAACATCCTTAGCCAGTCAGATGCATATGAATGCTGCTCATCGTATACTGCGTTATCTCAAGTTCTCTCTAGGTCAATGGCTCCTCTTGCCCAAACTCAATGATCTGACCCTCATTGCTTATTATTGTGATGCGAACTAGGGGGATGTGAGCACACTCAGTGTTCCACCACATGCTATCTAGTTTTTCTTGGTGGTGCCCCTATCAAGAAACAACGAGTGGTGGCACGCTCTTTTACTGGAGCAGAGTATCATGACATGGTCGTACAGTCGCTGATGTTCTTTGGCTTCGCTGGTTACTTCTTGAGTTTGGAGTTCCTCAACAAAGTTCTACTCCGCTCAACTGTGATAATCAAGTCGCCCTTCACATTGTTGCTAACCCTGCTTTCCACAAGCGCACCAAGCATTTGGAGATGGACTATTATTTTGTTTGGAAACGGGTAAGTCTGGAAACATCTTACCTCTCAAAGTTTCTTCTCATCTTCAGCTCGCTGATATCTTCACCAAAGGTCTCGGTGCGGCTCGCTTCCATTACCTTTTGTCCAAGCTGCGTGTTCGTGACCTTCACACTCCAACTTGCGGGGGAGTATTGGACTGAGTTACTACTCGAATGGCCCATGAGGAGGACAGACCTGGTTTTGATGTGCATGCAGTCCTTTCAGGCTGATAATTCTCGGGTTTGGTTTACATAACCAATAAGGAGATGGATGTTGATGTAACCCTAAACGATAATAATGCATAGGGTTATATATACATTGTAATTGGCTACGTTCAACTCAATGAGGCAATACAAAACAATAGACGGAGAGCTTCCATCTTACTCGTGGTACCACCTTATATCGATGTCTTTTGTTATAACGTCATTTACTTTTTCAGTTAATGGCTCAGCAAAAAACTATTTGACGTGGCTGATGCGTGGTTGCCTCATCATTAATCAATACTTTTCTTATTTCGTATAAAATAAAAATTAAAAAAATCTCTCGACAAAAATAAAAAATATCCC